GGAAAAAAACAACAACAACCCTGCATCCAACTCGAGCTGCAGAAGTCAGATTTGACTGATCACGGGTCAAAAGTAAGGAGAGATAACTGAGAAGATGGTGGAGGATTTGCTCCTCAACAGATCCCGAGGTCAATGACAAATATATTTTATCGTAAGATGTGCTCCCTTTACACAGTGTGCGCGGCGCGCAAAATCGAAAGTGAAAGTGAACTGCGAGCACTCATTCAAAAGGGATTTAAATACCCCACATACTGATAGCGGCGCCCTGATGCACGAAAATTATATACAATATTAGAATATTTGCGGGAGCGGATGAGAGCATGCGGTAATGGTCAGAAATTCAGCGAGAGCGGGATCAACAAGCCCCGCGCTATCACGCAGCGGCGCAGTCAGTCAGTGAGCGCCGTAACAGATGACGTCAAATCTTGCAGGATTCCATAAATAAACTACACAGAACCCCACTATTCGGACAAATATGCATAATGAAAAGATGATACAAAATGTAATACCTTGTAAAATGGCATTTAAGACTTTTTAATACTTTTTAAGGGCCTTAATTTTCTCTAAATTGATTTATCTACTTTTTAAGACCCCGCGGACACACTGTTATAAATCCCTTCGGTCCCTTCTTGGTAGAGAAAACTGCTTGTTTTATTTTACTGTGTAATGCATGTACACAGTAAAATTAAACCTTACGTTTCTTTTCAGTCTTCACGCTATTTGTATTTCACTCTTAGGTAATGGTAATGTAGGTATTGTCTTTCCAAAAGTTACTTTTGTTACAACAGTCGGTAGTAGTTGGATCTTTTCATGCATAAGATACAGTAGACATGTTTAAATTCAAAATGCTTTTGAATTTAACTGAATGTCAGGGAATCATTAACAGGCCTACTGTATATTATGAATATCTGATATATCACCAAGACCTAACAATGGTATGTTTATTTTTCTATTTCTTATGGTGTCTGACATTAATTTGTGGATAACTGTAGGTGAAAGACACTAAAATAATGCTAAAGTTACTGAAAACATTTGCAAATAAGACAACATATTTGCTTTGAGGTTCATGAGACAAATATGAAAACTGTTCAGAGCAATGGTCTTATTGCATTTGACCTGAGGCAGTTGTGAGGTCATGGAGACAGGTAGACTCCAATCCTAAACAAACCACAAACAAAATGTAAGGATTTGTCACGTGGTTTAATGTTGACACAAACATCTCCCAGTAGATCATTACAGTGTAGTTCAAAGCAGTACTGTTCATATAATTATTTAACTGCTCTGAATTAAATGAACAATGTTTTATTTGGGCAACACTGTAATGTTAATGGAAATGTGGTAATGTTAGAGATGTCCTTCCAAAATATGTGTTCACTTTTAATGCATTAAGGTCCTCCAAAAGGACCTTTTATATTCCATGCTGTGTGAAATGCCAAAAATGTATGTCGTAATACTTTTTAATCATGTAATAACCATTTTAGAAAAACTAGTAGACACCTGAGGCTATACTATTTTGTGAATGAAGACTCTGCGTTTTGAGCTTAACAACACCCATTAGCCATATCTATGTACAGATTTACTAAAAGTCTTCTGGAGAATCAACCATGCTGGCTTGACTCACAAAAACAAACCTCACTAGATTAAACTTCTCCCTTCATGTAGATGAATTTTTGTACATTTTAATATGTGAAATATTTGGCTGTGTGTACTTTCAATGGATGAACAAAAAGAATGAGAGAATGTTAAAAAATATCTTCACTTGTACTCCAAAGATGAACAAAAGTTTTTTTTTTAAGATTTGGAACAACATAGGACTAAGTACATGATGACAAATTTTAATTTTTGGATAAATTAACCCTCTAATTCATGTGTTAATTTAATACCTTATTCCACTGTACATATAGTATCTACTAAAGCTGATTAATTGTTTACATGGTCTTTCAAATGGACAGTTGTTAAGGTTATTAAGCTATTGAAAAAACACTCTTAGTCCTAACAGAGTTAGGAGGAGATTCATACTTTAGTTTACAGGCATTAAAATAAATGGCCTTGGCCATTGCACATTTGTTTATTGCTAAGTACATGAATGAGCATGACATGGACATGGTTAATGACTGCAAACAACTTCAGATATTTCAATATTTCAATACAGTAATTCAGAAGCTTTTTAATGAAAGTAGTTAAGAAGCTTTTTCTCTATCATTTATCAATAAAAATGAGAATACACATAAAAGAGTAGTGCTGGGCGGTATGACCAAAAATTTATATCACGGTATTTTTCCAAATTATACAGTTTTTACGGTACATGACGGTATTTTTTTTTCCATGCATGACCAGGAGTTAACCATATTTTCTACTGATTGAGAGAGGAAATACTGCAGTATATTGACTTAGAATGCCCTATTTTACTGTCATGATGAGTGAATAATATCAAAAGAATACACGACAAAATCTTCACACTGGCGCCTAAATGATGTCTATTGTACTCATTTATTGACGAGTCGGCTGCGGTGCGGCCAACTGAAAGCGCTGCTTCTCTGCCGCTCACTGCACAGAACAGACGCCGAGAGAGGTGACACTTCTCCGGGAAAGTCAGACCTCGCGTTCGCGGGACAGCACTGGCGAAATCTTCCAACTGAACCATAGCTAAGGTTTATCCAAAAAAAGTCGCTAGGTTTGTCAGTATGAATATTCTATGGAAAAAACCCGCTAAAATGGTCTGAAAGTCACTAAATCTAGTGCTTAAGTCGTGTTCGTGTGCGTGTGTGAGACGCGGGAGCTGATGGCAGGGGGCGGTGGATATTTGTGGCGGTCAATGTGGATATTGTGGATGAGTTCTTCTGTGTCATCACGTTCTATTAGTTCTACAGCTTCAGTTTCGGAACTTTCACGCTTAGTAACACATACAGCTGGTCGGTATGAACCGGTATACCGCCCAGCACTATAAAAGAGTTATCAAAATTGATTTATGTTGGCTAGTAGTAGGGCTGCACGATAAATCGCATGCGATATTTAACGCGCTAGTAGTATTTATTCTTGTCTGTCTTGTTTTTGTTTGTATTTCGCACATGTAAATACAGTCACAGTCTTTGCTTGCATAATAATAATAATAATAAACAGAATGTGTGTGCATATTCTGCCTTGCGAATGGCAAAAGCTTATTCCAAATAATCAGTTCTTATTCTGCTGGATCTATCTGCTGCTTTTGACACTGTCAATCACCAGATCCTCATGTCTGCCCTCTCATCACTGGGCATCACAGGGATTCCACTTCGCTGGTTTGAATCCTATCTCATTGGTAGGTCTTTCAGGGTGGCCTGGGGAGGGGCGGTCTCCAAAGCTCATCAACTGGTCACTGGGGTTCCTCAGGGATCAGTTCTTGGACCCCTCCTCTTCTCCATATACACTACATCACTGGGTCCCATCATACAGGCACATGGCTTCTCCTACCATTGCTATGCTGATGACACACAGCTCTATCTCTCATTTCAACCAGATGATCCAACGGTAGCTGCACGGATCTCAGACTGCTTGGCGGACATCTCGGCATGAATGAAAGAACATCACCTACAGCTCAACCTGGCAAAGACTGAGCTTCTTGTCTTCCCTGCCACTCCAACTCTACAGCATGATTTCACCATCAAACTAGGTTCTACTACAATTACCCCATCGACTTCGGTCAGAAATCTTGGTGTAACCTTTGATGACCAGCTGACCTTCAAAGACCACATTGCAAAGACTGCCCGATCTTGCAGGTTTGCATTGCACAACATCAGAAAGATCAGGCCCTTTCTAACGGAGCATGCTGCACAACTTCTTGTCCAGGCCCTTGTCATTTCTAGGCTGGACTACTGCAATGCTCTTCTGGCTGGACTTCCATCAAGCACAATCAAACCTCTACAAATGACTCAGAATGCAGCGGCACGACTGGTCTTCAACAAGCCCAAAAGAGCCCATGTTACACCTCTCCTTATCTCCTTGCACTGGCTACCGGTTGCGACTCGCATCAAGTTCAAGACATTGATGCTTGCATATAGAACAGCCACAGACTCAGCACCCGCCTACTTCCACTCACTACTACGAATCTACATCCCCTCCAGAAGTCTGAGATCCGCTAGTGAGCGACGCCTCATGGTACCATCACAGAGAGGCTCAAAATCACTTTCCAGAACATTCTCGTTCACCGTTCCTGGCTGGTGGAATGATCTTCCCACCCCTATCCGGAATGCTGAATCCCTGACAATTTAAGCGACAGCTGAAAACTCCTCTCTTTAAACGCTACTTGACTTCATCTTAGAAAAGGTTTTTTTTTGTTTTTTTTTCTCTTTATTTATTCCTTCCCTTTTCTAGCTTGTACTTATTTAAACAATGCCTAAAACTTGCTATTTCAAGCACTTCCTGTGTCTGTTTGCCTCTTTAAGAAGAATCGCTTTATGTATTCCCCAATTGTAAGTCGCTTTGGATAAAAGGGTCGGCAAAATTACTAAATGTAAAATGACTAAATGTGACTAGTGTTACAAAGTCAAACAGAATAAAATGAAACCATTGTAATTCATGTAACTAAAAAAATAAGTTACATTTAACATAAATATATTTAATTAATCTGCCCTAGTTAATGTGATATTTCCTAATACCAAAACAAACAACCCACAAAAGTTATGACATTGACTGACATCTACATCAAAGCACGTGTAAGAATCTATTGCAGAGAATACATTATGAAGTATGTGTCTGTATTATTGACAGGATTTAAAAGGGAATTTGTGCACCACTTCAACCATGATGACACACTTACACAGAACTACTGTCTAATCAACTCAAGAACCAACATTTCTATGATCAAGTATGTGACATCAATTTCCCTTTTAGCTACTCCGCTTGTGCTGTAACAGATTGAGATGTGGTGTCTTACCTCTGTGTAGTCAAAATCTGAGAGTGGAGCTATACTTTTGATGTACTCCGCTCTAGGTTGATTGGACGGGTTGGCAATTGACACAGGGGGTGTTAAGGTGCTCATAGCAGATACTATAGTCTGGAATATGGAAACAGAGGTGTTAAAGCATGCTGAATGTGGTAACTAATCAGAAAACACAACTACTAGAGATAAAATAATTGTTATTTACAAAAATGACTTACCACAATGGCGTCCTTCACATTTTTCCGGATATCCAATATTTTTTGCTTCTTTTCTCTGAACAGAGGAGGTGGAAAATAGGAGGGAACAACTGTCATTAAAGAATGAATGACATATCAAAATTAGGATTGTCAAAATAATTCTCCATAATTTACTAATGTGACTATAGCCTAATATTACTCAAAGTTGGGCCTTATCAGTTGGCAAGTTGTGATTATAAGCAGTCACATGACTAAACAGCACATATTGCACACAGTGTGACCTCATTTTGGGCCATCCTGATAGTGAACATAGAAATAACAGCATATCACTCTGATACATAATCAATTCAGTTATTATCTATTATTATTAAAGGTTTTATGCCATGAGATAAGGCCTAAATATACTGTCTAGGTACACAACACAAAAACGAGACTATACCGTATGCGCCAATTGAGAGGATCCTGAGACAGAGAGGATGTCTGGGTACGCAGTACAGAAATTATGCTGAAAATACTGCACACACCTATAGCCCAAAATGTTATATAGGTGGTCGGTCAAATTTGAGACTCGAAAGCGTCTATGATGACCAAAAATTAGGCCCAAAATGGTACACACGCCTATGATAACCAAAAATACAGCTCACTAGGTTTAGCGACAGCCCATTGAAACGCACTGGACGCAGATCTGAAGCCCGTCAATATTCTAACATCCAAAACATAAATACCGCATCCGTTATAATAAACATAGTACAGGCCCAGTGTCAGTAACTAACGCTAAATAAACACACACTCACTCTGCGTTAAAGCCGTTGACGTGCAGGATCCGCATCTGTTTAACTATAGTGCTCTTCCCGGATTCCCCAGCGCCTTAAAAAGCATAGAAAAAAAGACATAAGATGGTACGTAGCTAAAATATTCATGAGTATTTCCAGAGCCATGGAGAAATTATCATTCCATCCATGATGATGATGACGATATATCTATATAGCTATCTCTGCTCGAAGTTTGCGGACACATCTATCTGATAATGTATCGGTTATACATTCCTGTCTTACCTAATAAGAGCAGGCGGTGTGTGGCTTTATACGCCTGTCTCTCTTTCTGTAACTGTTTCTCGATCTTTTTATTCGCCTCTCGTTGCGCCTTCTCGTCGATGCGCTGATCCTCTGTCTTGCTGTTGCCCAAACATCCCATGTTCAAAAGCGTCTCTCTTCTCAAATACACAGTAAATAATAATATTATCTCAAATGTCTTCTGTAATGATGATTTGAAGTGTATCGGACTGATTAATAGGGCGAGAAATCCGTGCGCCACGGGAAAAAAAGGTTTCGCTTTGACTCCTTTACACACACAAGCGACAGATTCAGTCGGATCCTCTCAATATATTCATGATCAATGTTTGAAAATCAGACAAGCAGCTGAAGCTCAGATCATCTGCCTCTCTCTTCCCTGTCGCTATTTTGCTGTAATGTGTCTGTGTTTGTGTATCTTTGACTCAGCACTGCCTCTCTCTGCACTTACAGGAAGTGACACTCAACACTCAACCAGCTGATCCTTCTTCTTCTTCTTCTTTTGTGTTTAATGGCGGTTGGCAAACCAGCTCTCTCTCTCTCTCGTTTTTATCTCTTTCAGAAATTGAAGCCTACAGCCTTTCTGTCCATGCAGCAACTGATGGAACAGGCCAGGCAAAGATTATAGAAGACCAAGAGGCAAAACGCTGATGCTTTTTGGGTAACAGCCACTAGATGGCGCTTCGGTAGCCGGTGTCCTGACATTTTATCCTACCCGTCAGATTGTCCTACCAGGGTTTACTGCGCATGCGCACATCAATATCGCATCCTTTTTCTCACGCTGAATAACAATATTTAATGTATCTGCATTACTGTAAGGGTAGGTTTAGGGTTGGGGTAGATGTAGACTTTAATAATACACAATGTAATAGGTAGAAAAAAAAAATTTATTGTTGGTTTCCTGTAGCTGTATCCCTTCTAGCCACAACCTTTAGGTTTAGGGTTGGGGTAGGTGTAGACGTTAATAAACCATAATTTTACAGGTAGCATTTTTCGTTGGCGAATTGTACCACTGTTTTACCACTGGAGGTAGCAAAATCTGACAGGGTAGCACAAATCGACAGAACACCGCCATTTTGGAGTGAAAATTCCAACTGAATAACAGCACAGATACACAGAAACAGACAGAATAACAAGGAAAGAGAAGTCAAAAGGGAATAAAAAAAAACGCAATGTTGGGCAATCCACTGCAAAAACTATCAGTGTGACAGTAAAAAATCTTGCCTTTCATAGTTTTCCCAAAGACCCTGACAGGTAATTAATTCACAAAAGTGTAAAAATATTGTGTGTTTTGAAGTGGGACGTAGCGCTGTCTTATGCACCTGCTAACTTTAAAGGGGTCATGTGATGCAATTAAAATTTTTCCTTTCTCTTTGAAGTGATACAAGCTCTTGGTGCATAAAGAAGATCTGTAAAGTTGCAAAGACTAAAGTCTCAAATCCAAAGAGATATTCTTTATAAAAGTTAAGAGTCAACCACGCCTACCTAAAATGGTTCGTTCTAACATGCCCCCGCATGTCTACGTCACTATGTGGGAAGATTTGCATAACACCGCCCAAATGTTCACACAAAGAAAGAAGGCATAACTTTTATTCACGCTGTAGTATTGTTGTTGCCGCCAATTATGTCCCCATTGGATGCAACAAATGCCTCGTTTATTATGGGTTTTAATGTTTTTGTCTCATCGCTCCGGCTGGACAGGTCATCACAGTATGGTAAGGGGCATAACATTTCCGTCACACGCTTGAGGTATTCGGCCAATCACAATGAACTGGATAGCTGGCCAATCAGAGCACACCTCGCTTTTCAGACCGATGAGCTTTGTAAAAATCGACGCGTTTCAGAAAGGCGGGGCTTTTTAGCAACATCATATGACCCCTTTAACTGTTTAGTCTAGTAGTAAACTTAAATCCTTTTAGGAACTGCAGGTCCTAGCCATAGAAACCATAATAATAATTTATATGGATATGACACTAAGTAATGAGCTTATGCAACTTTACACATTTACAATTACTTAGTATATTATTATTTACTATTACTCCACTAGGTCTGAAATATATATTATACGTTTTAATCACCTGAAACACACTAGCATGATGATCTAGATTAATTATATAATTAAAACATTTTGGAGAAAGTGTCTGCATGTGTGTGTGTGTAGTTTTTTTTTTTTTACATATATTTTTATTATTTTATTTACAGTCTTCCTTTAACAGACATTAATATAAGACAATACTGCAAAAACAGTTTACTGTCAAGCTGTTATATTCCTGTAATATATTTATTGTCCAACATTGCTAATTTTTCTGTCATTAATTTAATTTCATATGTTGGCATTAATTCAGTGTTTATAATGCTAACACTTGAACTTAACATATTTTCAACCGAAACTGACATGGTTTCTAGAGAGCAAAAAGTTTTGTGAAAAAAGGGAAGACTTGTCTGTAAAATAAACTGTTAAAAGGATTTGATGATCACTAGTCTAGTGATTGTACATTATTGTTGTCATCGTTCAGGCTGTATTTCAGCTTTAATGTACGGTTTTTTAAACAAAGCAGGTGATATTTGCCATAGCGACAGCAAGAAGCTAGTGCACTGCCGAGTCACTTTCACTCCAGAATGGCAGAAGCGCAGGGCTGCTGTTGGGCTCCGCTGTTGCAATGGAATGTTCTATTGGCTTTCACTTCTTGTCAGTATAAGTTCTTTGTCCCAGGTCAGCCGCTCATATCACCACTACATTAGGCTACTGTATTTAAAGCTTATGCAATCACTTCATCATTAAAAAGGCGTCATTCATGAGTGAGTTTGTTACAGAATTCTCTACTCCAGCTACTTCACAATGCAATATAATCATACCATCAGGTGATCTTTTTACATTACTGATGTTAAATAATAAAAAGGAACATGTCATTTTAGTTATTTTCTTAATAGCATTACAAAACTGTAGACATTTAGCGTGAACAAGGTTAATTGTAACACTTTCTACTCTAGTGCACATTTCTCAGGGCAGATATCAATTTCTGCATTGCCCAGGAATAAGATTCATTTAAGATTCAGTTTATGTAAGACATGCTAAGCCTGATAGCAGGGCCTATTGTAACATTACATGGGTCATTGTCAAGTTGTCAACTACTGTGTGTAAGTTATCACTATCAGAACCTGATTGATAAAAAAAGCAATAAGCAGCCACCAAATAAATACACTCATATACTAAAAAAATAAAATATGACATTATTTTAGGCAACAGATATGGGAACAAAATAGTAATACATTGTATTACATTGCAACATATAAATCATGTGACACTTTGCCCCAACCCATTATTTATGACAATAACCTAGTCCAGAGTACATTATTCATTAGAAATGTGACTGCCAGGGTGGTATTTTGTTTACATGTTTATTTAACAGCCAACTAAAACATGATTACATTTTTTTTTTTAAACATGTTTGAATTTTTTAAAAACATTTGAAAACTTTTTTTAAACTGTTTTTAACTGTTTGTTTTTTTTATGTCTTAAGCTAACAAGCTAACTACAAGCTTTTGTGTAATTAGGTTCAATTTAACTTATACCTATTGAGATACATCCTGTGTGACAACTGGCCCCAGCTTTCTATATCCTCTATAAGGTCTAAAGAGAACACAATACAGTCTGTGGTGATGATATCAAGGTAGAGTTCCAAAACCAAAGTCAGTTATGTCTTGGGGGGGAATGGCACATTGCAAGTATAATGAATGTCATGCAAACTAAGTTTTTACTTTGCATAATATTGCCAAACTACTGTGCACAGCTAAAAATAGAGACAGCTACATATTGGTCAAATGTAGGCCTGGTGATGTCATAATAAATAGGAGGTTAGTAAGTAAAATAGAATTATACGTGCAATTAATATATAAATAAACATTTTGATGACAATATTACCTGGTCCCTATTGCACCATTAGTCAAATGTAAAGAGTACTGAAGCATGTGAACATGAAGCATTCAAGTTGGCAAGTACCTTCTTCAAACTAATGCAACTTTACTGCTAGTTAATGGCTTCAAATGCAAGCACATACACTGTGAATGTTTGGAGGATGATTCTTATCACACCAAGATACACAGAAGTGAACACTGGCTTGAGCAATTGGAAGATTTTTAAATGTAAAATATATGAAAATGAGATGCAAAATTAATCTTAAAGGGTTCCAAGGTCACGAATAGTGACCAATTAATGCAAATGACGGGTACTGAAACTCAGTATGATTTAATACTTGTGTGCAGAATTAAAACTCTACCTTTAATGTTAAAGAGCCAGAGTCTCCCCCTGGTGGACATTAGGCATGGCAGAATTTGCAATTAAAGGGATAGTTCACCCAAAAATGAAAATTTGATGTTTATCTGCTTACCCCCAAGGCATCCAACATGTAGGTGACTTTGTTTCTTCAGTAGAACACAAACAAATATTTTTAAGTCAAACCATTGAAGTCTGCCAGTCATATAATGGAAGTGAATGGGAATCACAGCTTTGAGAGTCAAAAAAACATACACAAACAAAACCAAATTAAACCCTGCGGCTCGTGACAATACATTGATGTGTAAAGACATGAAACGATCGGTCTGTGCAAGAAACTGAACAGTGTTTATATTGTTTTTTACCTCAGAAGACGCGTCACGCGCCAGCTGTTGAGAACGCACTCAGGACGCGCTCAGGACAGTTCGGACATTGCAGTGAATCAGAGGTAAAAAACAATATTCACTTCCATTATATGACTGACAGACTGCAATGGTTTGAGTTAAAAATCTTTGTTTGTGTTCTACTGAAGAAACAAAGTCACCTACATCTTGGATGCCCTGGAGGTAAGCAGCTAAACATCAAATTTTCATTTTTGGGTGAACCATCCCTTTAATGGATCTCTATCTTTATTACTGTGAATTAAACTCAGTTGTTGTTTTTACTATATCCATGGCGTAATTCTAGGTTTGTGGGTGTCTTGTTTGAAAACGTCTATAAATAATCATAAATAAGTATAATGTAAATTATAATTATATAAATAATTTCTCACAATTTTGTGGGCGGTCATGTTCTTTTGGAGGCAGTCTAGGGCTTTTTTATTGGGTCTGGGTAATGCACTTTACTTTAGCGCTATGACTAACCTATAGATCTCTGGTGGCTTACCTGGAATCTGCTGAAGCTATTCTTTCAGCTACCAAAGACTAATCTGCAAAAGAACCCTAGCTTTGGCTTCGCAGAGGTGGGGGAGAAATTTGCAATATGTCAAATGATTTAATTATTGTTTGACAATTTTTTTCAAAACAGTGCTGAAAAACATTAAAAATGATCAATAAATACAAATAATTAATTGTTGGTAATAATGGTAATATACAAAAAATGTTTTCAATCACAATCAGGTGTTTAACTGTATAATTATATAAGAAAATATGTTAAGTGGAA